GAGTAAAGTATTGTTTTTTGCTCATATTAGTGCTCTTATGGTTATCGATGTTGTTGCTGTTATTGTTGCTGCTGATGTTGACATTTCTAAAACGTGTTGAAAAATTAGAGAAGTTGAACAGGAAGAAATTGTGGGGAGAAACCAGTCGTCAAAACGAGAAGGTTGAGGTGCCAGATACACGATAGCAGCTGCAACAACGACGACAGCAACAACGTTACCTGGCGTTCTGTAGATGCCGAGTAGTTAGTCATACAGTTCGCTAAATTTCATCTATTTATAGTTGGATTATGGCAACTTTAGCACTGCTTCTAAAAACTTCGTTTGTAGTAGTAATGTTACTTTCTAGTAAAAGTGCTGCCGTTTTAGGGCCATCACGATCGTCGTCACCATCATTATCATCATCAAATGGAATGCCGTCTTTGTCGTTTGTAGTTTTTACCGTTGCTCTTATCGTAATTCTGTTAAATGGGACAAAGAAGAAAAAACAGCTGTAAATAGGGTTGTTGCAAGTGTCGTATGACATAATTTTGAAAATTTTCACCATATGTGGAAAATAAAAACAAAAAAAAGGGAAGGATTTTTTGAATTGGACTTTCTTCCTGACTTTTTTTTCTCGTCATCAGTGTTTATCATCTTAGTTCACTAAAGTCTACACACAAATACAGTATTATGTTTTGGAGAGGTCAAATACTTATAATATTGTATTCCCTTCCTCTCCAAAAAATTAAGTTACTGGTTTTTTCTTGTTTTGTTTTTATGAGATCGAATAGTCTCCAAAATATGCAACAAAAGGCGGAAGTTTAGGTAAAGTAAAAGTAGAAAATGAACTAACAGTTCAGAAGGAGTTACCTACAAAAGTCGTTTTTTTACAAATTTCTTTTTAAGGTAGATTGGGAGAGGGAAGGCAGTTCTCCAGAAGAAAAGCTGAAAAGGATAGCTAAAATTGATGCCTGGTTAAACAGAGACCAGTATGAGTAGAGGGCTGAGGGAGAAAGGACAGGAAAAGTTGGAAGGCGGATAGGGCAGAAGGGAGGGGGAAGGTAGAGAGAGGGAGGAAAAGAAAGAGAGGGATGCTCAAATCAATATTGACAAATGTCTGTAAAAATTCAGAATAACACAGATTTACCTTTATCGTTGCTACGGATGGTTTCTTTGTATCTACCTTGTAAAATTTCCCAAAATTTTATGGGGATATGGTCAGTTTTTCTTAATAGTTGAAAGAAGATGTAGATGTTAGGAGTAAGGTACACCTGTTTGGCATGATTTGCTTAGTGAAAAAGTGAATGGAAGCAGTGTCATTGTTATTTTATGTCCTAACGGTCTTGCTTAAAAAATTATGTACAATACACAAATTATATGAACAATAACGGTAGCAGATGTGAGCTTACGAGACTAATTAAGAACCTATTACTTTTCTTTGTTTTCTCATCTTATTAGTCTTTCCTTATCATTGCTTTTTTCCTACTCAGCTTTTGCATAGTGGAACTGAAAAAACGAATATGTGATAGTAATATTTTTTCTTTATTATATTATAGTTTTGAAGACTATAAAACGAAGATGAGTAAATGGACATATTTTGCTTATCAATTGAAAATTGGAATACAGATTCAGGAATCATTATATTTTATTCAACTTATTGTTGACGACGTAAAACAATCAATTACAGCGAAGTCTGTTTTAAATTTCTTTATGGTTGTTGCTATGTTGCAACATTAATTCAGTCATAGATTTTAATCTTCCTACCGGATATACAGTGGCTAAATTTAAGGCGTAAAAATTTTTTTTGTCTTATTTTACATCGATTTATAAAGTTGCATAAAAAAAATTTTCTTTATTCATTGACGTTTACATACTGCTGCTCAGTTGAATAAACAATACGACAACAAAGATAGCTGAGTTGATAAATAAATAAATAAATGTATAAATATATATATATATAAATATATATATATAAATATATATATATATATATAT